TGTGCTATGAGAGGCAGATTGAGGAATTTTTTAACAATGACAAATGCGTTTTATTATCAAATGGAATATTATTTACAGGTTTTAAATAGTCGATTAATACCAATGTATATCCTTTGTTTAGTGCGATTATTAATTAACTACCAAGAGAATGTATTTTATTAATTATGTCGTGTTTTTATGTACATGTTACGTATATTTTACATCGAGGTGCATCATAAAATCGTACTTTCGCAAGGGCATACACTGCATAGATCTAAACCATTTTTTGAATATAGATAAATGATATTTTCCTTAACTTGTAAAGTGCTGCTGCTTTCTTCAAATCGGGGGCGTGATTTTATAAGTACACAAAATATTTGGTAAAAGTCAAACATATTTTTTACATTGGCATATTTACTTAAAAGTTTAACAATTAAAACGCGAATTCTATTCAAAGCAGCAGCACTTTTCAGAAAATACAAAGTATGTAGAAACAATTAATAGCTTGAATTTTTAATTTTAACTAGGGTATGCCCTTGCGATATTGAAATTTGTTTATGACCTACATTCAGTACACGAACTATGCATTCATCACGTGACTGTCCATCGATGGGACTAAACTTCATACAGTACAGTTTGGGTTGTACTATGCTATTTCCATAAGTATTAAAGTTCTGTGATAATAAAACAGCTTAATTAAAATAAATTCAATTTTTAAAAAAAACCCTTTTTCTCGTCTATTTTCCGTTGATTTCTCATAGTAGGCCTTAACAGTGATGCGTAATGTAGGCACGCAAGCATTATAGTCTATGCATTTATGTTTTGCTATTCGATGTGTCTGAATGTCTTTTTCAAGATTGTTGCAACACAAAAAAATCTGAAAAAGTTGTCTATATTTAAATAATAATATTGTTCTCTTGCTAAACCTCCCGATGAAAGATTCTATTATACACCATGTTCAACTCCCATGAGTACTTTCATTACTTTTGTTTTTTTGCATATCAAAGATCATTAAAGTCAAGGATTTGAATTTCACGAGTGGCTTAATCAAGAAAATGTAATATTTTTTTTTATTTGTAAAGACAAGGAGTCCAATTTCAATAATAAAAGTAACCAAATTTTAAAAAAATCTTATTTATGTAATTCTAAAGTTGTTATCGTCTACACACATAAAAAAGAATAATCAATAAAAACCTTTATTTCCATATTGGCATATTTTATTTCCTTCAGTATACATTTAATAATTCTACAAATTCAGTCAAGGGGATCCGACCCCCCCCCCCCCCCCCCCCCCCGCGCATGGTTTACTTTTTCCCTAAGCGGGGGACACAAATTCTCTGAATTAGCTTGTTTTACTTGTAATGTTGTTGAGGTTTGGTCCTCTGGGTTATTTTTGTGAAAAGCTGATTTTATTGTTGTTTCTGTCGAAAAGTATCCACTGTCTCCAAAATGTACGGGTAGTTCTAATTTTAATAATCTGTTCTCTGTATCAATTTCAATGGTTGCTCTTTAATATTTTGTTAATAAACAAATTACTTTGAATGCAAACTGAACCGAATTGTCATTTTGCGAAGAATTATAAAACTAAAAAGTAATATCTAATTCGTATAATTATTTTGTGATACATTATACATCCAAGTAGATATGTAAAATAATAATAAAAAAAATAATACGTGTTTAAAATACATGACTCGAAAGTTGCAAATTAAACGATATACGTATTATTATTCCTAAAAATACTAAGAATGATATTTTTCATCATTGTACTTAACACACATAACCAAAATATGGATCAGAGACCTCAACTGATTTAAACACTTTATATTCAATACCATCAAGTCACCCATTAGGCGTAGTGGCTAGAACGCCTGTTCTAAGATTGCGGAGGGAGTCGGTGATCCTTACCTCGAGGGCTCAAATCTAATTGTGGGACGTGGCGAGCGGTCCTTTATTCAGATGAGACCAAACTTAGTTTAAACTAGTAAACCGGGGTCCCGTGTCGCAGTAGGTGTTGGCAAGAAAAAGATTCCTCACTGCTCAATGGGCGTAAAATTCCAAGTAAAGGACAGAATATGCAGCTCTTAAAGTGGTGGCGTCTACATATTAGTGAAAATTCTCGAAAGGGTCGATTACACCAACTCGTTACAGTTCTTTGATTAATAAAAAAGTTGAATGAGAACTAAGGGGCTAAAAGGAACAAGGGTAGTCGTTTCGACAATTTAAGAAGGGAGAAGTGAAAGGGGCTTGTCCTTGGATATTTTCTTGGGTGGAGTCTTGGGTATTCAGTTGGTAGAGCAATACAAATGTTTATAAAATCCGTACCCAAATATATAAGAACGTAGGACTAAACTCATGCAAAATAAGAGTCAAAAATATCAATTCCAAAAAGAGTACAAAAGAGAGGGAAAGGGATTCAAATTAAGAAAGAATCAAAATTAGAATGGTTCCCAAAAATGACGTTTTCCGGCAAAACAGGTTTTTTGTGCTCAGAGAGTATTCATGGTCCCGGATATAAAAATATATTTCATCGGCTGTCTTACTATTACCTGAAACCTACGCTTTGTCCGTAGGTCTGTCCGTTGACTAATTAAACCAAATTGGAACCACCCTCAAATACAATTACATGCAACCCATGCTTTTTCTGTAGGTCTGTCCGTTGACTAATGAATCCAAATTGGCACCACCCTCGTACAAAGGTTCATGCAAACACACATTACATCCATAACAAAATGATCTACAAAATTATAGTTCATCGTACCAACAACAACATCAAATTTGTTCCATTAAGATAATTATAGTTCATGGAAATAAAGTCCCTTTTCAAATTTAGTCATTGTATGCGGTACACTAATATTGTACTACCTGGTATAGTAAACTTTTATTTTACTTTACTGTCACTACCATATTCACTATCAATAAATAAAATAATTATGATAAGTTTAAAATGTTCAAATAAATTGTCCATTCTAAACCCTAAAGGTTTACAGAAGTTGACGCAACGTGGAAACCTCAACTCAACTTTGTTTCAGCATGAAACATCAACATTGAAAAAAAGGTTGAACATTGGTTGCAATTTATCTAAATTTTGATAGAATATTTTGGTTAGTTGATATTCGATTGAAATCACGTTGAATTCATAATGCACTTTGCTTTATAAAAAATATGAACTTTTCAATTTCTAATAAAAGTTTCTATTAAACTTGCAAACTTTGTACGTGTTTTAAATTTTTCTTAAGTAAGTATACTGCACTTTCACGTTTTCGGGACTTTCACATTTTTGAAATGTAATTTAATTAAATAAATTAATATGTAATGCATTTAATTTATTATGAACAATTATATTTTCTAACAATGCATATACATAGCAAAATGACATTGACTTAGCGTAAAAAAAATCTTACGATTCTAACTATAATAAATAGGGTGCTAAATTGCCCTTGTTTCAAAGTTAAATTTTCGTAACTTCTTTTTGCACGTTGAAAATGTGCTGCATCCTCCATTTTATTTCAACATTGAAATCAGTACATATTCAACGCAGCAATTTTTAACATTGTTTAAACAATAAAATAAGAGAAAATATTCGATGTTGAAAATATTTTGCATCTTCAAAGAAATATCTACAAATATTTAACGTTGAAAATATGTTGCAGCTTAAACGTTGTTTAATCAATGAAATAACACTCAACATTAAACGTTGAAAATACTATGAATCATCAATCTTGCTTCAACGTTGAAATATAGACAAACATTCAATGTTGTTGAAGATATGTGACAGCTTCGGCGTTTTATCAACATTGAAATATCGTCAAATATTTAACATTGAAAATAGGGTAGGGTGGTGTAATTTCGACCGACTATTTTTTTTTTTTTGTACTTAAGGGTTTTTAAAGTATGTCACTGTTATGTTTTGCTACAACTTTTACTGGATCCTTTTACCTTCAGAATACCTTTTATCTCTCAGATTACATCGATTTTGTATATATTTTTGGTCATAATATGAAATAATTGCGTTCGATTTACAAGATATGTGTGTTGGGTAATTTCGACAGCACACGGGGTATTTTCGACCGATGAGCCAATACAAAGGAAATAATTGGCGTCAGCTCTAATACATAAAAAAATTGAATTAAAATTTCTCTGCTGTACACCATAAAAGATGGAGTAAAAATATTGACCCCCAAAAAATGAAAATATTCAAAATGTACTTAATTCGAAGACATCGAGTGCACAAGATATGTCTATGACGCCGATTTGCCAATTGGTAAAGGCTTGCTACACATGTACAAATGTACATGTGCAGGTATCTTAACCGCATTAAAATAAAACAAATGATTTTTCAGTATTGTAGTACTAGTTTCTACAAGGTATAAATGCACATAATTCTTATCCTAATATTTTTTTTCGGACGATCATGAATTCTTTCTGGTGACAGAAAGTAAATTGCGTCATTTTACATTGGTCGAAGTTCCCCACTGACGCCGTATTCATGTAGGGACAACCTCGACCGATTTCTGTTCAGCTGATTTGCAATTTAATTTGTAAAAATTAGTTCGCCGTAGTGGCAAAAGATACGCGGTATACTCGTCTGTAATTTTTCATGTGATAAAGCCTATTCTTTGATGTAATTTCTCAATAACGATCTTAATAACACTCATGGAAATAAAATTAATTTGGACACAATATATTAAAAATACGTTTTCTTTCGGCATAATATAAAGTACATACACAATTATACGCCATAAACAAAAAATATAAGGGTATTTATGAACGGTCGAAATAACACCACCATACCCTATGTTGCTTTTTCCACGTTGTTTCAACGTTTAAATACGGTTGAGGATTCAACGTCGAATCCTCAACGTCGAAACAATGATGAACTTTAGTCACTTAACGTTGCAACATTTATTCCACTTCCTTTCAACGTTAAAACACCACTGTGTGCATGCTGGATCATCAGTATATGGGTTAACCTTTATAAATTTTGAATGGCATACAATTTTTAATAATATATTTTCTTGTAGATTTCACTGTGGCTACCTTCACCCTGGTTTCACAGAGACAATGAGAGAATCCAGCACTAATTGTAAAGGTATTTATATGTGCATTAGCTGTAAGATCTATTCAATTATTTTAACATCTATACATGTATATTGTAAAAAGAGTAGTGTATCTGAATGATATAGATATTTTTAGTACAATATTGTGATTTTCAGACAAAGAAATCAACATTACTCTGTTATGATTACAACGAGAAAACGATGAGAAGAAATGAGTGTCTGCTGTAAATGATGTATGAATTAGTATTACAGAAATCCGTCACAGTACCAGGTGTTAATAGTGTTGGTCACATTTCACATGTGACATCGGATCAGGTCTGGATCAGTGATGGAACTAAAAGTCTTATCTTAACAAACACGCTAGGGGATGAGCTACAGCATCTGAAAGATGTACTTACAACTTTTACTGGAGTACACACAGTGAACATTGACGGTGATTTAATTTATATAGACAGGAAATATAATATCAGCAAACTGTGTACAGAAAACAAATTAAGAACATTATTAATAAACTTAACAGAACCGTGGGAACCACAGTGTGTCTACAGCTCCCCCTCCACTGGAGACTTGTTAGTCGGGATGAGGTACTACACTAATCTTACAAATATAGGCAAGGTAGTGAGGTATAACTCCACAGGAAAAATTATCCAGACCATACAGCACAACAACATCACAGGTCAGGGACTGTATAGTAGACCTAAATACATCACAGAGAACCGCAATGGAGATGTTATTGTGTCTGACTTGTACCGTTTTGCTGTAGTGGTGACAGATCGTGACGGTAATTACCGGTTCTCCTACACAGGTCCTCCACCAGCACACCAACTAAAACCACTAGGAATCTGTACTGACGCGCTGTCACACATTCTGGTGTGTGATTTTATCACTTGGTCAGTACAGATGTTAGATCAGCATGGTAAATTTCTATCACAGATATTACTACACGGTATAGACAAACCACAATGCCTGAGTTATGATGAAGAAACGCACCTACTGTGGGTAGGGGCATATAACAACTACACCGTAAAAATATATAAAGTGGTAGATGGGGACTCTCTGACAGATACATGTAAGTTAAACATTCTGGTACTAGTATATTTGAAATTTTGTATCAAAATTTATCATTAATCTACAGATAAGTAGACACTATGTTATAGGTGTGATTGTTGGGAACACCATTATTAAATAACTTTGACTTGAATACGTATAATTGCAAGTACTTAATGAATTTAGATAATCGTACAAATTATATTCAGATCATGATTATACATAGTTAAAGTTAATTCTATTCACCTATTAGGATAGGGGCATACTGTTTTACCCTTGTAAGTCTGTCCATTTGTTTAGTTGTGTTTGATTCTTGAAACTTTAGCACACTCTTTAGTTTAGTATGTTATATGGTGTGATTTCTTTATAGTAAAAATCCAACATCTACTTTTTATCCATGCGTCTGTCCATGCTAATATATTTACATCGATATCAAACTGGATATTGCTTTTTGAAATGAAGGTTTATTGTAAAAGTTTTATCTTTATTTGAAGACTTAATTTATCTCATTTTTGCAAAGCAAGTATTTAATTCAAGATACCAATAAATGTGAAACTTAAATATTTATTTTTACAGTGGTTCCCACATTGCCTCCAGTCCCTCAGAACCTTATTCTCTCTCCAAGTACCCTGAGAACGCCTCAACCTGCAAGTTCACAAGACAGACCTCAACTGGAGTCAACCTACCCAAGGACTGTATTAACAGCCCAAATCACGTCTACAAGTACCCTGGTACGGCCTCGTTCTCCACTGTCACAAGAAAGAGTAGAGTCCATCCACCCATGGACTGCATCACCAGACGTTTGTCCATCGACTAGAAGTACAATGGAAGACTTTGGACCTCCAAATACACAAGAAATACGGGAATTCAGTTACCCATGGACTGCACCTTCATCCACTGTCACATCTGCTACTACACTAGAAGGGCTTAGATCTCCACTTACACAAGGAAGACATCAACTGGAGTCCACTTATCCATGGATACCACCAGCCCATATGTCATCAATAAGAAGTACCCTGGAACAACTTGGACCTCCAGGTACACGAGAAAGACCTCAACTGGTGTCCAGTCACCTCTCGACCACACACCCAGTCGATGTCACACCTACACGTACAATTTAATGCCTTGAATTTGATTAAAATTTAATATAAAGTTTTGTTTTTCTATTTGTTTTAAATTTAGATGCATCTGCATTACTTACTGTTATTCTATAAAGATTAGCAAACATGTTAATTTGAAATAGATATATGCATTAAGTTTATCCCCTTGAAAAAAATGTTTTTGACCACAGGCAGCATGATTAATATCACTGGGTTAAGTATGGACTACAAATGGGAGTTTGGATTGGGCTATGTTTAAGTAAGAAATTTTTTTTAGGCGTTATACATCACAGATTTGATCCAAGGTCAATGACTTTAAAGAAAACAATGTAGGACAAGGTAATTATAATTAAATAGATTAGTTTTGATGTTTACATATAAAGTGTATGTTATATACATTATGTTTCAGAACACCCTATAGAATTTGAAAGAGAATTTGATGATTTCCCAAGTAGTTCCACAAAGACTGTCCCAGTCTCTGAAAGTCCACCACCAAGAAAGACGCGTAAGCTGGTGCAACGGGGAAATATCAAAGGTATGAATAATATTATAAGAAACACTAAAAAAGACTTTGGTTTTAAAAATTGCCATAAATCTAGTTGTCTACATTATGTGCATAGAATTGTGATGTTAAGCTCCTCTTAATACTGGTAGGAAATCAGATCGTTTTATAAGTACATGGATATGGCTATATTGATTGACTGATTGATTGTATGTTGTTTACGTCCTATTACGTCTATTTGTTAATTTCAAGTCCAATTCATTGGGCTAGAAAGGGTCTGTGATTTTTTATGTGAATGCTTAAGAAGTTTTAATTGAGGAGCAGCCAGATTACAGACTAAATTATATGTATTCCTTTATCTTTCATGATATTTAATTCTTGACTCTGTGTTTGGTGTAAGGTAAATATTGAGGATCATTTTTGGAGGAAATCATTGATTTAAGGATTCACCGTGTAGTTAGGAAACTATGCTAGGGCATACGATATTGGGAAATGTACGAGACATTCCACTCCATTGCCCTGCCCCATGACGTCAAATTTTACTATAAAAAAATTTCCCATAAAACAAGATAAAAATATAGTGATTGTTTATCTACTGCAGTCAAATATCTACATCCATAAAAAAAAAAAAAAAAAAAAACAACGAAGGAATTTTTTTATTTTGATCAAAGCAATTTTGTTAACTTTAATTCTAAGTGTGACCTAGATTAAGGTTGTCGGAAGCACAGACAACGCCATATTTAATGCAATATTACAGTTTCTGAAACGGGAGTTGGTCAGGAAACCGATTTGTGTGAATGTTAAAATATACATGTAGTTGAGTTCCTTATGAAGTCGGATGGTAATGACTGAAAGACGATGCATGTATCAGATGATGGAATGTATGTGGCTGTGCCAATTTCTTGACATGATTCAGATGGGCTGTTTACGACAGTGGAGTTCTCAGCCTCACCAGACATCGGTGATAGTAGACAGTGTTGTCATGTCAGTTGTATTGATATACATTTGAGGAGTGTCTACGCAGCATTGTTAAGGCTTGAAAAGGTGGACAGAGCCTAATTTATACAGGAAAAGTTTACTGTGACGTCACACAAAAATATGATTTTTTGTATTTCTCATAATACCTGAAAATGAAATATTTTGCAAATTTTAACTGTATTAGCATAATAAACAACAATATAACTTATCAATGCATTAAAAAAGTTTCTTGTTAAATCCCATGTACCTGATTTTAAACAAAGCACTGATCATGATGAACTTGTAAACATGACATTGTATTGGTAAAAATGACGTATTTCATGTGCTGTGAGAGGCAGATTGGGGAATTTTTTTAACAATGAAAAATGCGTTTTATTATTTACATGTTTTAAATAGTCGATAAATACCAACGTACAGTCCCTGAAACGTTCTACTTTCCCACCTGAACGGTGAGCGAACGCTGAACGAACGGTGAACGAACGCAAAGCGAACGGTGAACGAACGGTGAACGAACGGTGTGTGAACGCTGAACGCAACTTGGTGAACGATGTGTGAACGGAGAACGGTGAATGAACGCAGAACGCGAACGGAGCGCAAACGGTGAACGGTGAACGAACGGTGAACGCAAGATGAACGATTTATTCGGAATGCATCAGATTTTTTCCTTGCATTTAAATTATTCTGTTATATTCTAATGTTAGATGCTAAAATATAAATAAACAATAAATAAATAAGTGAATAAATAATTAAAACATTTTTTCTGCACATACAATTGATGTTTTAAATCAATATTTTAATAACACGATTTTTATTGCCGTAAAACATGTGTGTTTGTTACCGAATACCTGTCGTATAAAAGATAAAATTAATTCACTAATAAAATAAATTTGCTTATTCTTTTGACTATTAAAATAATGTGGACTTCAGAAGAGAAAACTACTATACTTACAGAATGAATTATTAGATTAAACTAAATGATATATATTTCGATGTCACGGCGATTCCGTGTAAAATACCGATTTTTTTTATTACTTTATAAAGGTTTGTTGACATATTGCACCATTCACTCGTATTAAAAAAAAATTATGCAATAATATTATATATTTATTAGTAATTTTATTTTGTCTGGTTATTTTCTAAGCTAAGTTTTACATGCAAATGTATATCTGAAGACATTTCCCGACAATGATTATACTCGGACAAGATAATGGATAGAAGCATTCAAATTATTTGTAATAGATTAGAATTTCAGAACTAAATAAATAATAAATATATTGTCATAGTTTTTATTTAACATGACAAATGTAATAGCGATAGAAAGAGAGAGAGAGAGAGAGAGAGAGAGAGAGAGAGAGAGAGAGAGAGAGAGAGATTTGTTGCATCGAATAAAAATTCATATATTAATTTTTTTTCTAATATTCCAGGCAGTCAAAGTAATCATTTTTTATTAACAAATCCATTTGACATTAAGCATCGGTTTTTTTCCTTCAAGTTCAAACGATTCACTCCAAGTGCACGTGCTTGTCCTGTCAATCAAAATAATTCGACACAATGGAGGTGTTTAAATCTCGCTTCACTGAACATGCCTAAGTCAAAGAGACACTTCGTATTACCGAGAAGTTTTAACATTTTGTTTACATCATTTTTAAATTTGATTTTCGCTTTTCTACGGAAAAAATGAATAACTAATTGCAATACATGTATATTCCCACGAAAGATTAAGTTTGAAATTGAATTTAAAACATAATCCCTGCCAAATCAAAATACCACTGTCGGCACATGTATGTATATAATGACTGTTTTGATGTTTGTATAAAGAATATTTTTTTTCTGTGTTACATGTACAATACACATTGAATATTAATTAATATATACTGAAAATACTGACTAAGAATTTGATTTCGGGAGAAAGGGTGCCGGGGGGGCTGTTAAGCATACTGAATGGCAAACGTATATTTAGTTACTTGAAGGTAGGTTTTTTTCTTTGTAATGATACACTTTATTTACGTGATGTAGAACCAAAAATTCTATTGTAATAAATTTTAAACAGTTTGTATTGTCTAAAATTTAGAATCACACTAACAATTTAATTCGCTCTACAAATATTTAATTAACTGAATATCTGTAGTACTATTCTTAATTCTCAGACATATATATAGTTCTAGCAAGTTTGTTTTTATTTTTTCTTTAAAAACTTGTTAGACATATTTTTTTTTGTATTCCTGTCTTGTAAAATTATTATTCATCTATTAACGATTTTTTGTCGTCTTTTATATTATAACGAAATGCCGCGCTTTAAATATTTGTTTAGGGACATTGCCCTTATTTAAATTTAATATTTTAGCATCGTTCTACTTACATGTATGTTCTTAATGTATTTTTTCCAGGGAAAAATAGATAAAGTAATAGCTAAGTTATAATAATAGAAATATATATATATCGTAGATACTTTTTGCATTGAAATAATTATTCTTTAAACACGATATCTTAGTTATTTAATTAAAAAACGTGTTAATCCTTACCATCAAAAAGATAAGTCCTTTCACTTCGGAGTTCCGAATGACAATAAAGACTGAACGATAAGTGAACGGTGAACGCAAGGTGAACGCAAACTAAACGGAACGAAGAGCGAACGGTGAACGTTTTGTGAACGGTGAACGTGAGCGCACGGTAAACGGTGAATGCAAAACTGTGAACGGAGAGCGAACGGTGAACGCACGCTGAACGAACGGTGAACGAACGGTGAGCGAACGGAAAAATGGGAAAGTAGAACGTTTCAGGGACTGTATATCCTTTGTTTATTGCAAGTATTAATTAACTACCAAGAGAATGTAATTTATTGATTATATCGTGTTTTTATGTACATTGTGTATATTTTACATCGAGATGCCTTATAAAAATGTACTTTCGAAAGGGTATACACTGCATAGATATGAACCATTTTTGAATGTAGATAAAGGATATTTTCCTTAATTTGAAAAGTGCTGCTGCTTTCTTTAAAGATACTTAGACACATATTTGAAGGTATTATTTTCTCTATAATATTACGACTTACACATTTTAATAGCATTTCACACAAAAATTAATGAAAAATCTTATTTTTATAGAAAATATATTAAAATTTAAATTTTCAATTTTCAACTTCCTTGCTCTTTCGCAAATTAATTCTATTCTTAATCCGTAGGAAAAGTGGCAATCTCGTTGTGTATAAATAAAAAATACTAATATTTTAATCCAGGAAATTCAGAGTAGATATGTTCGAAAGCAAAGCAAACACACAATATATTGTCATTTCGTGCAGTTGTGGTAAGCAGACTGAGACGACTTAACGCAACCAGTGAATTGTAAACATCAACATATACAGAACTCTATTTACAAAAACTGTGTACATAACACGAGTGTGCTCGATTTTCAAAACTCTGTACAACACTCTTAGTTCGGAATGACGATGCTTGTGAAGGAGTTTTGCTTTCTAACATTTCTAACATTTCTAATCTGAATAAAATTATTTTTCTGGATAAAAGTTTCAATATTTTTCATTAATACACAACAAGATTGCGACTTTTCCTAAGGATTAAGAATAAGGTTAAAATTTGTGAAAGTGCAAGGATGTGTCAATCAAATCCGCAAAAAAAATTTGAAGTTTTAATAACTTTTAAATGAAATAAGATATTTTATTAACTTTTGTGTGAAATGCTATTAAAATGTGTAAGTCGTAATATTATATAGAAAATATTGACTTAAAATTTACGTCCAAGTACCTTTAAATCGAAGGAGTGATTTTATAAGTAACAAAATATTTGGTAAAAGACAGACATATTTCGACATTGTCTTATTTACTTGAAAATTTAACTAATAAAACGCGAATTCTTTTCAAAGGAGCAGCACTTTTCAGAAACTACAAAGTATGCAGAAACAATTAATAGCTTGAATGTTTAATTTCAACTAGGGTATGCCCTTGCAATATTGAAATTTGTTAATGACCTACATTCAGTACACGAACTATACGTTCATCAAGTGACTGTCCATCGACGGGACTAAACTTCATACAGCACAGAGTGGGTTATACTATGCTATTTTCATAAGTATTATAGTTCTGTGATAATAAAACGGCTTAACTAAAATAAATTCAATTTTAAAAAATACCCCTTTTTGCATGTCTATTTTCCGTTGATTTCTTATAGTAGACCTTAACAGTGCTGCGTACATACTGTGGATTCAAGTTATGATCGAAGGAGACTAGAAATAGGCAATGTTATGAACTTAAATTTGTTTCATTTCTCACACGTGATAGAGGAAAAATGATTTAAGAATAGCAGGACCCAGTTGTGCCCTTTAGCCTTTGGGTCTTTTTTATTTATCTGATTTGAATAAGTTTTCTGGCTACGCAAGTGCACATATAATATTAAACTTGTAGCTGATTCCTAAAAAAAAACATTGGAAAGTTTTCTCAGTTTGTTCAGGCTGATATTTTAGCATGCAGTTGGAGATTTCTGAATCTCTACAATAGATAATCACAATGTCTAGAAAGGATTCATACTATAACTGAAATCATGTTTATCTTTCCAGAGACTATAGAAGAATTCAAAGAGGATGTTGGTTTGCCAGGTAGTTCCAAGGAGATTGTTTATGATGATCCCATGTTTCCTCCAGTCAAAAAAATTTTTAAATCTAAAATTGATCAAAAATGGCTGCAAAAAGGTATGTTTTCCACTTTTTTGATAAACGATATTTTTAGGTCTCCTGAGATTTAATTATTGCTATCCGTTTTTGTTCGTCTTCGTGTGACATACGTCGTCCGTCGTGCGCCGTGTGTTACCATTTTAACAATTTCAGCTTCCTTGCTGCGATCGCTCAACCAATTTCAACAAATTTTAGCACAAAGCATACGCATAGGGGAACATAACCAATAAAAGCAATCGTTCAACTTCTATACTTCAGTACATCACGAAGTCAAACAACTGTTGGCATGATTGAAAAGTTATACTCTTTCTTTGGTACAATTTTTTTCACATTAACTTCAACTTACCGACAAATCTGATGGTATTTTCCGCTCAATATCGTCATTTGTTTTAAATCAAAGCCATCATACATTTTTTACAAGCAGGATTTAGTTAGAGGGGAAATTCCTCTTACATATTCCCACAAAAAATCCACAATAAATCCTCATAAATAACCTGTGCAAGGCTCTTTTATAGACATATTACGAATTCTGCCTCTGTCCTCGGGTATAAAAAAAGGGTAAATGTCAAACGTAGATTTTCGTACGTAGTTTGAACACGCTGACTCTTAAACAAGAGAAATAAAGCAAAGGTATCTTAATTATTCGGATATGTTAGATTTTTGACAAAAATGATAAAAACAAGTTTATTTTAAACTAGCATTCTGCGTCTTTATATGCAGAGTAATAAGATGTAAAGTTTATGACACTCTCCCTATCATTACAGCTCAAGTATGCAGTGACTTGACGTCATTTTCAATGACGTCATACATTTGTAGTTCAGAGAAGGGCATACACAGAGTACACTACAATATTCTCTGGGAAGCCTTATCGTACCTGCCTTCTCTATTCCTTGGTATAAAAAAAACTAACCAAGTACTTGATTATGTTAACTACGCAGCACAGTTAAGGTAACAGTAAGGAGGCGGGGCCTAATTTGTACGGGAAATGTTCATTATGACGTCACACATAATATAAGCTCTTAAAATACCACAAAATGAAATTATTGCTATTTCAAACAGCTGGATAGCTGTATACTACATACAAACTTACTATTACATGCAGTGTTGTCGTTAGTTAAAGCCCACACAACCGTATATAACCGATGCATTGATCGCAATGCACTTGTTAATGTGACGTCATCTCGCAAAAATGACGCAGTTTGTACACAGTGAGAGGATGATCACGTCACATTTTGTACAATGAAAATGTCTTTTGTGCTCAAATAAAATTTTATTTGCAGTAAAATAAAAAGCCTTTAACATGGATGCGATGTCTATTTTAGTATTTTATTTATAAACTGTACGTGCATTCTCCAGACAAGCGATACTGTCGTGTGTTTGTATGCAGATTCATTGAAAAAGTAATGGAAGGGACCTAATAAATTGATTTATTGCAAGGGCATACCCTCAATGTATCTTGTAAAATTTTACATATAAACTCAAGAAGCATTAAGATATTTGAAAAGTGCTGCGAACCTCTTGAAATCTTGTAAATAAATTAATCATAGCTATATTTAATGAAGTTGACCAGCAAATTATTCAACCTGCCGACCAACAAATTAAATTTTACCAATTAAAAAAAAGGAATCTATATAGGTTCGCAGCACTTTTCACAAACTACATATAGTGTTGAAAAGGATTATAAAATAAACTAAGATTTTTAACTTGGTTATGCCCTTTCTATATTGAAATCTATATATAGATGACCTCTAAACTGCATGTATTATTGCTAAAGTCATGTGAAGTCTAAATAAAAAAGCTAAATGTCCCCAACATGTAGATTTAAATCACATTTCATTTTTTTTATATCAGTGAATTCCTAAAAAGAATCGCCCATCCTAATAAAGTATGTATTTTTTATCTTTTAAAAAAATCGCCGATATTTCCATTTGTAACCTTAACTGTGCTGCGTAAGGCTGTCTCTTTCAAATCTGTGAATTTCATGGTCCAAGGATCTGGGTTCTCGTGTTAAAGCTCTACTGGTTATAAAGTGAAAATGCATAATTATTTTAAAAATCTTCTCCTCTGCTCCTGGGTATTAAACCAATATACTATGTAAAAAGTTATGATGAGAAAAGATGTTTATTCCCAATTTTTGAATTTCATGACCGCTGGGTCAGGCGATCTGGTGTTAATTAGAGCGGGATTCTAATGATTATATTGTGAAAATGTATTTATTCTTTGAAAAAATTTTCCTTTGCTCCTTGGTATTATATCAATGCTCTAGGTAAAGATTTAGGATGAAAAAAGGTGCCTCTTTCAAAATGGTTCATTTCAGCACCACTGGGTTACGGGTATCGCGGTGGGTATATAGTCTGAAAATAAAGTAATGCTTTGAAATCAAACATTTATGATGAAATAAAATTTAAAACTTATGATAAAATTTCTAATGTATAAAAATACTTGGCACCACGTTCAGTGGTATCTATTGCTTGGAGTGCATAACGGGTGATTATGAAGTGAAAGTTCATTTTCTTTTCGTTTCTCGGATCTACTTCTGGGCATTTAATAAACAAAGTAATTCTGCTAAATGTATAGTTATGACAAATAATGGTGCCTCTTTTATAAGCATGAATTTCATGGCTTTTGGATTAAAACAAAAGCTGTTACATGATACTCAGGTGACCTATAAGGCCCATAGGCCTCTTGTTATACTTGGTGTGACCATCAATTGCAAGACCCTTAGTCCTTATGTTCTAATAAAAGACATCTGCATTTGTTAAGCTTTAGAAGATCTTTAATTACTGAGTATCTATGATCATTTAATTTGGCATTTGCAACTGTAATTGCTGATTTAATGGTCGCTAACTTGGTTTTACCGGCTTCATCACGCCTCGCTGGTAAAACATTTGCAATCGTCAAATCAACATTTTTTTTCCTGCAAATTCCATATAAAAATTTACTGTATGGTCGCTATTTACCGCCCCTGCCGCTATAATCGCCCCCGTAGGTCTTTTTTTAATTCGTCTAGAAATAAAATTTTAAATATAAAAGTTCGTCGTAATACACTGCAAGTTAGGATTCTAAACAGATCGGTACATTCTGGAGAGCAGAAATCATTGCATGGATATGGAGAGCAGAAAACATTGTTATTCATATAAATAAAAAAAATCTCATTAGTAAATAAACATCTCTATTTAATACAAGGCTAAAATGCTATTTTATAAGGCGTTTGATGGCAGTTCATTTGTTTAATCCTCCATAAATAATTAATTCAAACAATATTTCATCTTCAATTTTTATCAAATATATTGAACCGTGTTAGTGAAAATTTAGCGAGACTTAGCGTTCTATCCTTAAAAATCGGTTCTATGATTAACTGAAAAATACTTTTAGTGAGTTTAATATGCCCACCTAAGAAGTTATTATATAAACAACTGAAATGCAATAAACTTATGGATATTCAATTTTAGCTATCTCGGCACCGTCGTTAATGATGCCAAAATGAATTCTCGCATCTTTTCTGCTGATACGGTTAAACGGTTGACTCTCTTGACCCCAGATAACACTAAAATACATAATCCGTAAAGATGTCAAAGAACTGTATTTCCGAGTTGTTTTTTTTTAAATTATGTGTTACCTCCTAAGCAATGTACTTGAATAAGTGAAAAGTTAGTTTCGCAAAGGCGTTCAATATATACAGATAAATGTTATACGCTTACAGTATGTGTTTTATATTTTAACTTTCAGAAATATTAAAGAATATAACGTAGATGCATATGTTTTTGACTTTACTGGTAGTTCCAAAACGTCTGTTCTTGATGCACTTATCAGTCAAAAATAACAGATTTATGCCATATAATAACAACAAATCTAATTTTGAAATAGTAAAATGCAACTGTTTCTTGCCATACGTGTAGTGATTAAATCATTGGAAGTGCAATCTGCAATTGCTCAAGAGTCCTTTGTCTAGCTAGAGTTGGCAAGCGAGAGGTCCTCAATTGTTATTACTGACTTTGATGAACAGTGTAGCCGCAAAATTGAATTATCGCGCTTTGGTATTCTGGAAAAGAATATTCCTTTAAACATGTATTTTATTAAGTAAATCTGATTGCTCTTTACAATGTTTATTTAATATATCAACTCGGCAGGGAGTCAGTCCTAAAAGGACACCTTAGCTTACTTATTGATAATTTAAAATAAGCTATAGGGTATGATTAACATTTTCTTTTGTATTGTTAACATTAATGCATAAGCAAAAATATCACAGTTTTCACAGCAACTACTCATCGCAGATGATTAAAATTCTAGTGCACTGTCTACGAATGCCAAAAGGTGGGATTCATATTTGTTCTAATCAGATATCAACTTTCTGTTCATCCGGACGTTTGTTCCTATAATACAAAAGTAATGCAGTTTTCTTAGCAATTACTTATCAAATTTGCCTTAAAGAACAAGAGCCACGAAACATCAAAATCCACACCGTATTCAAAATTTATGAATTTTTATTAAATGAAAGTCTAATATGTCTACGTTGTAAAACAGTTTATTTTGAAGCAATATCTTTCATTGTTTTCTTTTTACAGGTGTTTAAAATAAGCATTGTTTTTTAAATGAAATATTATGACGTCATGAAGTTGACGAAAAACACGTTAAAATCATGACTTTGAAATTATTTATAAGACGTAACAAATTGACACTAATGGAAAATAATCCACAAGAGTAGGATAAGAATAAATATTGAATATTTTATCGAAAGTTTTAAGGGTGGTGAGGTGGGAGTGGTGTTGTTTTTCCTGTGAAAAAATGAAAGTGCACGTGTACTAAGCTGAAATTTTCAGTAATTGTTTAGATGATGTCATTTTTAATAAAAATTATGTTTCTTAAATAAAATAAATTATCCGAGATATTAACGACTTTATTCCGCTTAGTATTTTCCTACAGTGAGAAACAATATCCACAAAAATAGTTAATATATATAAAGGGAAAAAAGCCATCAAAAAGGTTTCACCCGAGAATACGTATAGAATACCTTATAT